CATATTCAAAATACCATATTCATAGTCAAATACCATATTCAACACATACTCCATCAATCATTTCACCATGCAAAGAACCGATTGTCACATTCATCCAGCACTGATGCATGATTAGTCTAATTATACCTCATTAACTCAGATATAATAAGCTAATTAGTTAAAAGGTGTTCTTTGTTAACAAAGCCTTTCTTTTTTGTCTTACTTGCCTTTCTTACTGTTCAAAAGTTTGGAATTACAGATCAAGTTCAAGGTTTTTAAACAGTGTAAAACCTACTTTGTTGCAGATAAAGGTATAAAATAATAATAATTTGCTTGGCCTGAATAACTTTACAGATCTCAGATCATCTATACAGTAGAAAACTTTACATATAAATGAAAAAGTGTTAGATGTGTCCATAATACGTAAATTTTCAAAACTAATAAGTAATAATTACAGTTTATTATTTACCTTCTTATTCATTTCTTGTTTCATAGAGTTCTTCAAATATTGAGTAAAGCAAAAAAGCTTTTAGTGAACAGTTTATTATGTTTAATTCTATGTTTTTTGTTTATAAAACTGATTGTTAATTTAGTTATTCTGAGCTTTTAAACTGTTTTGGAACAAGACAAGGTGGATAATGTATTCTTTTATAATCCCTAAAGTTCTAGATAAACTAGATTAGTGTGAGATTAACTCCTAGGTAAGTTTTAAACTTAAAAAAACACAGTTCTGTAGGAAAGACAGTGGTCCTAAATAGAACCATGAACACTTAAAGAACCCTTTGCGTGGTTCTTCAGATTGATGGAGAATGTGTTGTTTACAGTTCTATATAGAACCTTTTTGAAAAGGATTATATATAGCAACAAAAAGAGTTCTTCTATTTTTACAATGTCAGGCTTGTAACAATAGAAGAACCTTTAATGGTGCTATGTAGAACCCTTTTCAAAACAGTTCTACATAGAACCATCCACAGCACATTCTCCATCTATCTGAAGAACCATTTCCCCATGCAGAGGGTTCTTTAAGTGTTCATGGTTCATAGAACCATTATCTTTACTGAAGAATCCTTTTATAAGAGAGTGTGAAGAATCCTTTTTCAAAAAGGTGCTGTAAAGAACCGCATAGAACACCTTCTCCATCAGCCTAAAGAACCATTTCACCATGCAGTCACTTAAGCATGCAAATAGTTCTTTGGGTGTTCATGGATCTGTTTAGAACCACTGTCTTTACTAAAGAACCATCTTTTTTAAAAGTGTGTGAAGAACTTTTGAAAAAGGTGCTGTTTAGAACCATATGCAACACATTCTCCATCAATCATTTCACCATGCAAAGAACCATTTAGGCATGCGAGTGGTTTTTGAGTGTTCATGGTCCACTGAAAAAAAAGTTCCCCAAGGGTTCTTTAGTAAAGAAAATGGTTCTGTATAGGGGACTGTATTAGAAAGTGTTGGTGGCACATTGTCCTTAAACTTTTGACGAAGCAGAGACTTTGAGGAGTTAATTGGCTCGTTAGTGCGGTACAGTGCTTCAGACAGTTGGGAGCTAACGAGCGAGGTAGTTCACGCGCTCCTCCTCCTATTTCTGAGAACAAGTGACTCTGAGAAACGATGTATAGCAGGCGGAATATAGTTACAGTCAGCATGTCGTTGTTCTAAACAGCGAGTTCAGGGCTGATTAGTTAGAGGATAACTTAACTTGAATACTTTCTGTTCTCCACTAAACGCAAAGCTGACCTTCTTCTCCGGCCTGGAACGCTAACCGCTCGATATTTCTCAGGGCGCTTGTGTGCCGTGTGTTCATTTCGCCAACATAATACGCCCTCCGGGCTGCCACTTTGAGATCTGCCTCCTGCTACCGAGACTAAAAAAGGCATGAATAATGAATTAAGGAAGAAGTGATAGCGAAGGGTGGAGAGGAGAGAGGGAGAGTGGAGGGGCGGGGTAGATTGAGAGGCACTTTGGAGTCTCTAGGGTTCCTCTATCTCTGTCCTCCACCTCTGTTTGTGTCTGGTGACCCTCATGCCCTCAAACTCCTCCAGTCTCTTCCTTCTGTATAAACCGACACTGAAAAGCAGAGCCACCGTGACCTCCCAATCTAAATGCGTGCATCGGAGGAACCGGTTCTCCTCTCCTGCTCTCCTTCTCCCTCTCTCGCTCGCTCCTGTCACTCTCCCATGGATAATTATGAGCAAATGAAGCTGTGGGAAAATGACAGACGCGGCTAATGAGTAAGAATGTCGTCTGAAAGTTCACAAATCCAGCAGGCCCTTGTCAGGATGCTAAATGCTAATTAGGGTTTCCATCCTTGTTGCGACTGAGGGTTGCAAATTGGCAAACAAGATGCGCTAATGTAATGCACCATGCGGCCGCCGCCGCTTCTGTAACCCTCTGACTCCTATAGCGCTCGTGCGGAGTCATCGCTGAGGATGTGTTGCTGTGAAATATATAGATGGCCTGAATCACCGTGAGTGTGAAATGACTTTCCGAAGCTGATTAACTCTCTGGGGTCGACGAGCGCGCCGGCGCGTCAAATTAGATGGTTTTCTGAGTTATTATTAATATCTTTGTGATGATCCCGCTCAGAAATCCAGTTCAAACACTTCCTGAATCTGTAGAGTTGTCCTTTCCATTCCATCTCATCACGAGATCATACGAGACTCACATCCGGAGTTATGAGCCTATGAAGAGGGGCTGAGATACATGTCATCTGCCTCTCACCGTGTGGAACTGGTGGATTGGTGTGTCCGTCTACATTCTGTGTGAAACTGACCAATGGATACTCAGGAAGTCACGGACTGACCATCACGCCGGAACCCTGTGGAGAACATTCATCTGCTGTTTTATTCATATATTCAGCTACTATTGTGATCCTGAGACTTTGATAAACCAATTTCAAGCATCAAAACAATTCGTCCACATGAGTAAAGCTATGTTTTCACAAGAAATGTTAAATTCAAATTTTCAGCTTTAGGGCTGAATCATCTCTGTACATAGCACTCTGAGTCAAAAGAGCCTCATTGTAGAGAGAACCGAGATTGTTCTGAACATATATATATATATATATATGTATATATATATATATATATATATATATATATATATATATATATATATATATATATATTATGTGGATATCATGTCGTATGCAAGTGCCTTTAAAGGCGCAGAATGCATTTGGTTGAGAATATATGCAAAAATGCCCTCATGAAGAAATGATTCTTCTGTATAGGACCTTTTTGAAAAGCGTGCAATAGCACTAAAAAGGGTTTTTCTGTTTTTTTTTTTCCTATTATTTTTTGTACATAAAAAAGATAGTTCTTTAAGGCAATGGTTCTGTTTAGAACCATGAGTTCTATAAAACTATTTGCATGCTTAAATGGTTCTTTGCATGGTGAAATTTCTTCAGATTGATGGATAAAAGTAAGTGGAGAAAAGTAAAAGTAGCGGAGGGGTATATTGTGTAAAAAGGCTGTACAAAACAGTTGAAGACAGTCTTATACAGTTTGTACATGTTTATTACTCAGAACTGACGCTGAATCTGAGCCATAAAACATACTAATGAATCTCACAGTCATTCGACTGTGTCCGTATTATTTGCTTTCTATTTACATTCCTGTTCAACCCCTTAAAATCCCATTTTATTATATACTAAGGCTTATTATTCAGTAACTACAGAGCTTCAGTGCAAACTGGCTGAGGTATTCATAGATTATAGAAGTGTATAATAAAATAGGGGTAAAACACGTGACATTACAGTGAAATGTAGTGTCTTTCAAATTTCAAATAATTATGCAATATTGATATATTTTATGCCCTTTATCAGCTTAATAGCTCAAATCTGTTTCAGTATACTTCAGTGGTTACATTCACTCTCAGAAATAAAGGTGCTAAACTGTCACTGGGGTGGAACCCTCAAGGGTCCATCTCAGTACCTTTTTTCAGGGAACATAACTGAACCATAATCCACTGAAATGATATGTTCTAAGCTGTACTGACTCCACACACCCCGTCTCGTCTCCAGGACTTTATTTTACTGTTCTGTTTTAAAACATTCGGTTATGAAAGGTACAAATACGAACTTTTCACCTGGAAAAACTTATTTAAGGTTCACAATCAGACCTTAAAACCACTGTTGGAGCTTTGAGGGAACGTTTACACTGTTTGTACCTTGATGAGCGAAAAATGTCCCTGAACAGACCCTTTATTTCTAATAGTGCACTATAATTTTACACAAAACACAGCACTTTAGAGTTTGTACCTCACACATATCCAGTTAATTCCTAGAACCCAAATTAGAATTCGACCTTTTTTTTTTAACACGTCTGCATAATTAAGCGGTTAATTAAGTGGCTTGATGTGAAACGCTCCATTTCCCACCACTAAAAGCTCCCACACAGAAAGTTATGATATGAAATGGTTATGAATTCACTGCATGATGTCTGAGACACTGTTTTATGATAGATTTTGGCCTAAAACATATCTTTAAACTCTATTGAATGCAGAGGTACATGCAGGGTGCTGTGAGGCAGAATATTCCCCAAAGAAAACTTATTTTTTAAAGATTTTACATCAATAACATTGCATGTAAAACTCAAGGACTGTAATAGAGGGCAGCACTCAGTATGGGTCGATCTGCTTTCTGCACAGCAAGGCCTCTAAATCTGAAGCGGCGTGAATCCGGGTTCTGAGCAGATGATCACCCATGAATGGAAGAAGCTTCCCAGAGCTCTGTGTGGTAGCAGCTTCCAGAGCAAACCAAGCGTGTAGTGAGCTTAACTTCTCACTGTGAGTTCCAAAGAGGAGTCTGCAAATGCTGAACAGCAGATGGACGAAGCTGGCTGTGCCGTGGTGGGTCTGCTGCACTTTAGATCTCTTTGGGATGTTTTTTTGGACAGCAGTCAAAGCTGAAAGAGATTTTCAGTGGACGATCTCCGAACACGGTGCAGTTTGAGAAAAGTACGAGGCTGATTCTGGGTGTGGAGCAGATCCACGCTAACACATGCCTGATCTCTTTTCTGTAGATGGCAGTCACAGCGAGATGTCCCAGCCGTCGCTGACCATTCAGACGTATCCGTATGGAGGGTGTGAGTCAGTGGAGATGTCCTACCAGGCAGGCCAGTTCCAGCCAGCCATCCGTGTGGCTGACCTTCTGCAGCATATCACCCAGATGAAGTGTGGCCAGGGCTATGGGTTTAAAGAGGAGTATGAGGTAAGGGCTTCTCAAAAGTCGCCACCTTTTGTCTATAGCACATTTAAAAGACAGCAAGTGTTGCATCAATTAAAATAACCATTACTAACCAATCAGAACTACACAATACATTCAACGAGGAAAATAACATGCATACAAAAACAAATCAAATGAAAACAATGAAATAAAACAGAAGAGCTACACTGGCAAGACAGAACAGATACGGAATGCATAGTCATTAAAAAAACTCGAATGCCTGAGAAAATAATGGGTTTTTAAATTTGACTAGTCGAAACATCTAATCATGGTATTCTATTGCATCATTAAGAAGATCACGTCTCCATGTTGGTAGGCGAACTGTAACTCTGTGCTCTGATGGAGCTCGTCTCATCACCGTTACTGCAGATACAGCCCTGCAGGTGGATAAACACCAACAAAACAGACCAGAATGACCACAAAAAAGATGAAAAGATATGTGGACACTTTAGATGCACCCTCCAGAAAATGGTACGAGGAGAGGTGGACTGGATCCATAAAGCCTGCACATCTCCAGAGTTCAGAACATTCAAATCTCTGAGATTTTACAGAGGCTAACAGGGACTTCTCAGAAAGTTGTCACCTTTATTTCTTTAGCGCATTTAAGACAAGTGTTGGCCAAAGTGCTGCACAATAACATCAATTAAAATGACCATTACTAACAAATCAAAACTACACAATACATTCGTTGAGGAAAATAACATGCATACAAAAACAAATCAATAAAAAAACAACAAAAATAAAACAGAAGAGCTACACTGGCAAGACAGAACAGATACGGAATGCGTAGTCATTAGAAAGACTTGAATGCTTGAGAAAATAATGGGTTTTTAAATTTGACTAGTTGAAACATCTATTCATAGTATTCAATTGCATCATTAAGAAGATCACGTCTCCATGTTGGTAGGCGAACTGTAACTCTGTGCTCTGATGGAGCTCGTCTCATCACCGTTACTGCAGATACAGCCCTGCAGGTGGCTGGGGGCCAAGAGCAAAATAGCAAAACAGACCAGAATGACCACAAAAAAGATGAAAAGATGTGTGGACACTTTAGATGCAGCCTCCAGAAAATGGTCCGAGGAGAGGTGGACTGGATCCATAAAGCCTGCACATCTCCAGAGTTCAGAACATTCAAATCCGTGAGATTTTACAGAAACGAAAGACTTCTCAGAAAGTCAAGTCACCTTTATTTCTTTAGCATATTTAAAAGACAAAAAGTGTCGGCCAAAGTGCTGCACAATAACATCAATTAAAATGACCATTACTAACCAATCAGAACTACACAATACATTCAACAAGGAAGATAACATGCATACAAAAACTGGCCAGACGCTTCCAGGTAAAATCAGAAATTTGAGTCTTAGCCTTTTGGAATGTGATGGATACTTGTGGTCATTAAACAGGTCAAATCTAGAATGATGTAAAAACAGAAGGAGACAAACTTAACAATAACAGAACAGGCAAGCCAGATCCAAAGGGGCTAAACAAAAAGGTGAAGTCGAATATTCAAACACAGACAGTGTGTCCCAATTCAGGGGCCGCGTCCTTCGGAAGCTGCATTTGAAGGCTGATTGAGTCACAGCGGTGCGACTAGACTGTCCCATTTTGAAGGCTCCTTCATATGCGGCCGAGAAATTTGTCCTTCTTTTCCATGGCAACGAAGGATCCAACGAGTGCATCCTTCGCCAGCCAACATATCCCGAGGTTCATTTGTGTGCCGGTGAGGATTTGAGAACATGGCGGCATCAGCAGAGGAGCGAACGGCGGCTGAAGAGATATATAAATTTAACTATTGGGTTTAAACTGAGGCGAATAGCTAACGATACAAGGGTAACAATCTCCAGCTCTAATAAATGAAAAAACAAACAACTAATTTCAAAGTTTCTGGCTCTGTCTGTAAAGAACTTTGAAAGAACTTGACAAGAGTGATGTATCGTGGTGGGAACAGCGGTGCTGTGACACAAACAGAAAACCCACCGTAGAGCAGACCATCTCATTTCGGTTCAGCCTTTGCAGGTCTAAGCAGCCTTTGAAGGACCCGCCTCGGTAGACCGCATCCTTCGAAGGATGCAGCCCCTGAACTGGGACAAACTGAGAGTCCAATACACAAGAAAACAAAGACCACAGGAAGAAACACTTAGTAGCTCTATAAAAGAAGCAACACCTCACAAATAGCTAAACTAAAGCCCAGGCTTATATACTGTCTATACCAAACAACCATTACGAGGAACAGGCGAGGCATATCAGTGCTCAGATGATGGTAAACAGAGATTGGCTAATGGTGGTGGTGTAATAGTCATGTGATCTCCTAGGAAATTCCGGGAGGTTGAGTCTTTGGAAGCAGGCACAGCGGAGGGCGGGACACAAATAAAAAACAATAAAATAGAAAAGCTACACTGGCAAGACAGAACAAACCAAGACAGAACAGATACTGAATGCAAAGTCATTAAAAAGACTATGAAAAGAAAATAATGGGGTTTTAAATTTGACTTAAACGTCTGTTGTGGGGGATTCCTTTATGAAAAGCTGAAGACTGTTCCAGAGTCTTGGGGCAGCTACAGATAACAGAAAAGGCCCAGTTACCTTTGAGCCTCAGCGTGAAGTGGCTAAGAGCAACTGGTTAGAGGACTGCAGAGGAGGTCAGAGCGAAGCCATGCGTAAGCTTTAAAAATTAATAATAAAACTCAATTCTATATTTTACTGGTAGGCAGTGCAGTGATGCAAGTACAGGGGTGATGCTCTCCCTTTTCATGGTACCATTCAGGAGCCTCACGGCTGCATTTTGGACCAGCTGAAGACGTGACAAGCTTTGACTGACAGATTCCCAAGTACAGCAAGTTGCAATAGTCAATACGAGAGGAAATAAAGCATGAACAACTGTTTTGTGGTCCTTAAAGGACCAGATGCTTTTCATTTTTGCTGCACTCCTAAGTTGAAGGAGCTACTCCTCACAACTGCATTCATTTGCTTCCAAAACTTCAGAGCAGAATAAAAAAAATGACACCAAAAAAGTACAGTCGAAGTGGAAACAGTTGGGAATGGAACTGATATCAGTTGAACTTTTGTGTTTGTGTTGGGTTTGCATTTGAGGGTAATATGCAGCAAGTCTTCTCAGCCTGTCGGGAGGTTTAAATTCAAGCCAATAATGCAAAATGTTGCCAAATAAGTAGAGTTTCCATCAGTATGATACTCTCAGGGTCACGTTAATAAAATCACTTCTGAGAACTCCAGACTGGCTTTACAGAGAAATCTTTGATGCTGACATTTAATGCTGATCTGATAGTTTGGAGTGTTTCACTCAAATCTTGCTTCATTGCTTTTTTGCTGTCCATCTTCATATTGTAGAGTTAAAGGAGACACAGCTTTTGCACAAGTCTTGGTGCTTTAATAACCCTCTGGGGTCCACAGACTCGCCCATGCATGAACTCATGAAATTCATTGTATCTGTGTCTGTATCTTTGTGATGATCCAGCTCAGAAATCCAGTTCAAACACTTCCTGAATCTGTAGAGTCGCCCTTTCCATTCCATCTTATCATGAGATCATACGAGACTCACATCCGGAGTTATGAGCCTATGAAGAGGGGCTGAGATACACGTCATCTGCCTCTCACCGTGTGGAGCTGGTGGATTGGTGTGTCCGTCTACAGTCTGTGTGAAACTGACCAATGGACACTCAGGAGATCACTAAGGACTGACCATCACGCCGGAAACCCTTCATTCTTCATTCAGTCCACATCGGAGAGACTTATGTGAAATGGCGTGCAGAGAGTTTACAGCTGCTGAAGCTGCTGCAGCGGTTTTGGAAAGTAGTGATGAAGATAACGGAGCATTTAGATATGAAACATATGAGGATCACGGTATACAAAGAGCCTTTAAACTCAATAGTGGAAACATATTTCAATTGTGATTCCAATGCATTGTGGCTAATATATCACGGTTGTTGGAAAAAACCTTATATTTCCATTTTGCTGATTTTCAGTTTTTGACATAATTTGAAAATGCCTGTTTTCCTTTACATTGTCTGTAAATTTCATGATGAATGGACCAAAAGAAACGGCCCAAAATTACTTGGAAAAAAATTCTGGTTCCGTTGACTTACATTAAAAGTAAAGTATGTTTTTTCCTTCTCTTGTAAAGTTACCATTTCAGAGATATGAGGTTTTCTTCTGACAGCCGCAATATATAAACCCCTGCATATTAATACAGGACTGCACATATAAACCTGGTTCGCTGATTGTAATTGGTCAGTAAATGAGTCCGGTAGACAGGCTAGTCTGTTCAAATTCAGCATGGTGGTATGAATCTGGGACATAACAGGCTGTTTTACAGAGTGTGTTACTGAATAAAAAGCCTTCGTGTGTAATAAGCCTGGGATTTCAGGGGTTAATGCCCACTCCGCCGGTGCACTCCTCGAATATACCTGAGCACATTATTCAGCTGTATTTACTTTGGACTGAAAGCTGGGAGCTGTTCTTGAATCTTTATCTTAGCATTAAACATGCTGGGTGCTTTGTTTATCAAATATTCATGGGACCTAATCTAAAAACAAACAGACAAAAAAATATAAATAAGTTAATATTAATAATTCAATAAGACACCGGAGACAAAATAAGGCAAGACAGCTTTTTGTGGCTTAACTTTTTTTCCCCCTTATGAGTGAGCTTTAATTAAATGTTATGTTTTGAGAGAAATGTTAATTATTGTACGGTTTTGCGATGAGAGAGAGAGAAAACAGGTTGTTTATATTTTTAAGGGAGATGAAGAAAGAGTTAATTAAAATGCGCAGTTCATTAAAATGCGCATTACTGAGCATCAGTAAGAGCGCTGTGAGAGATTTTATGGAGAGAAGGTCATGTGACAAAGGTCAAGTAACTCTTGAAAAGTCCACACACGGATCCTGCGGTAGCTCGCTCGCCCGACACCACGGCTAATTATCTTTCACCCCTGATGTTTTATGCTAGTTCGTCCCCAGCCTCCTCGCCTC